TGTGTTAAGAAAGCGTATAGATGCTTAGAAAGTAAATATTAATAGTGGCCCTTTGTGTTTTTTTTTTTTAAAGGCTTTTTTTTTAAAAGATTTTATTTATTTATTCATGAGAGACAGAGGGAGTGAGAGAGGGAGAGAGAGAGAGATAGAGAAGCAGAGGGAGAAGCAGGCTCCTGAGGAGCAGGGAGCCTGATGCGGGACTCTATCCCAGGACTCTGGGATCATGACCTGAGCTGAAGGCAGACGCTTAACCGTCTGAGCCACCCAGGCGCCCAACAGTGGCTCTTTGAATATTAGGGTTATGAATAATTTTTATTTCTTTGTTTTCAAATTTTCTACAAATGCACATAATACTATCACTGAATTGGTCAACGTTATGAAAATGTAATTTATAATAATTCATTTTCCACCCCTATCAGAAGCTATGTATATGATAAAATGACTTATCTTTGAAGCTCTGTAGTATAAATTGTTACTGTATTTTCTCTCTTTTTTTGTTCTTTGATTTTTCTACTGTAGCCTATTTGCTAAATGTATTTTTATTCCTTAGGAAATTATATTCTGTGTGTCTTTTATCTTATTCTGGTCTAAAAAAAACACACATATATATTTAAGTATTCCCTTTATTTTCAGCTTTACTTGTCAGTTTTGTTCAAATAATGCATGTACACAATTTAGAAAGTCAGGTGATACCCTGAAGACAAAGTATAGCAGTTCCTGGCTTTACCTGTTTCCACCTGGAGGCTCACACTCCGGGGGGATCTTAATGCATTCAGCTATTTCATAGTAGGGAAGTTACCTCCATGTTGCTAACTAAGATGCTCTTTTTAAATTCATGAATTTTAGATAGCATTTACTTTCCTATAATCACAGATGAGGTATTAACTTCCATACCCCTCTTTACTGCTTCCCTTTCGTCCTATTATGGTTAAATGACTATTCAAATTGAATCAGCAATTGTGTTTTCACTGTTCTGACTATGTAAACATTGTCTTCCCCAGACCAAATAATGTATAATTATATTCTCTTTCTTTTACAGTTTTGGTTTTTCCTTTACATCTTATTTTAAAATTAGTCATACAGTATGTTTCTCATTCTTTAAAAAGTCTTTGCTGGCTCCATTGTCTGTGGGAGGAAGTCCAAGCTGCATGTGTGTGTGTGGCCTGCAAGCTTCATTTTTCATTCCACTTTATTGTTTTAGCTTCACCAAGTACTGCTTTCTATTCCTGCACTTCAGCTCTTCGGTACTATTTGTAGTGCCTTAAGTGGGTGGGTGCATTGCCTCTTGTCTCCTTGTCTTTTCTGCTTGTTTTGAACACCTCTCCTTCCTTCTGCCTCTGTGCTTACCACGTCTTCATATTTAGGAAATTTTCCTATCCTTTTGTGTCCACCCCCATGTCTGGGCTGGTGTTCCATAACACCCCTGTATAACTCTACCATGGCTCTGCTCATCCCATTTTGTAGTTTTTCATGCCAGCTCTTCTCCTGAGGTCCCTCAGGTTTCCTGAGGTTCTTACAAGGACCTGAGAAGTCCAGTACTGGGTTTTTCTATAACATCTGAAAACACCTACTAATGTTTTGCAAAACAACAGGACTTGTGGGAACAATAGCCTCAGAACATACCACTGAAAACCTGTGCAACTGTGTAACCAGTTTACCAACAAGAACAATAGCAATCCTAATAAAATTTTTAGCATAGCTAAATCTACTGGAATTTGCACGTAGCATTACAGTCAGTCAGTCCTTCATAGCCTTAAACCCTAAGGTTCGTCTTCCTCTGAAATTTAGGCTCTAGAAGATAATTTGCTTATGGATATTGTTTTATTTGCACATGTATATTTTTATCAAAATTTAAAAATCTGAAGCTGGGTATAGCCTCAATTCGTCTGTTGCTTTAATCCAGAGACATTGTCTTAACATTTTTTTCGTCAGCATTCACAGCTTCCCTAGACCCTTGAATTGCCTTGGAGGTAGGCACTCTTTATTTTTAGCTTTTTGCTGGAAGTTTTCTTAAGTCGCTAAGGTATCTTTCTATTTTTTAGTTTTATTTTATTGTGTTATGTTAATCACCATACATTACATCATTAGTTTTTGATGTAGTGTTCCATGATTCATTGTTTGCATATAACACCCATCTTTTTAATATGTGTAAGCTGTCACTTCAAAACATGAACATGGCAACCACCACAACTTCTTCATTATCTGCACATCATTACCTTATATACTAAATGTGAACTAATAATTTGCGTTAAAGAAACGATGCATTGAAGCAGATTGCACGTCCTATTCCAGAAAACCTTTCCTGACCACCTCCCTCCTGGATACCTTACAGTTTTGTGTCCAGATGTATTTGTCTTTCCTATCAAAATAGAAAAAGAGTCCGGCAAATCTGTCTTCAAATTTTTGCGTGGCTTCTTGTTAACGAGGTGATGTGTTTCCCAGCTTTCTGAGTACCTGGTCTCTGGTCTGCTGCAGTAGTTCAGAAACACAAATTGCACTGCACTTTCTAAAATGGAAATGTAATTCTCCCTCCCTTGTTAGTATCTGTGGCTGACTCTGTTGCAACTAATAGATGTCCTTAAATTAGATTCAACTCATGGGTCTGTAGGCACTCAGGATCCTTCTGAAGTTGGTTGTAAAACTTCTCATTCATTCATTTTTTAATTAGAGAAAGGGGCCAGAAATATCAGATTCTCAAAAGGGTTCAGGCTTAAAAAAGAAAAATCACAGGCCTACATGATAGAGGTCATATGGTACTTGGAAGGTACCCAACTATGTGTAGTTTCTTAAAAGTGTCATCTGGTCTTTTGCTTTAATACCAGCCATATCCTTAGCCTTTAATTCCCAGTGTCCGTCAGCAAATGGTAGTAGTTCGTGTTGGTTTGATACTTCTTTGCCTTTCTCACCAAGAGTGTGTGCTTTTGTGTAGTGAAGTCAGCGTTTGCTTATTTTGCTGTGATAATTTTGGACAGGTTAGAGTTCAGAAGGACCTGAGAAGGATTAGGTCACTCTGTGGAATAATTTTTCAAACTAGTAAAGTAGAGCATTTCCAGGAGAGCCATTAAGTGTCTGCATAGTCAGAATTAGGCTTATAAATTCTTGAGGTAGGTGCCACACTGGAGACTCAACTGAAGCTGCCTCCTAGTCTAAAGTAGCCGCTTTTTCTTTCATCTTGGGAAGGAATTCTCTCTGAGTACCAGGTAAAAATGTTAACCTATGCTTAGAAGCCAGGTTAATAAAAAAAATAAAAAAAAAACAAAAACACACAAAAAACCTTTAAATGCTAGAATTGTGCTCAGCAAGTTGAGATGCTTGGGCTATAAAAGGATGTCCAACTAAGACTGTTGAAGGAAGCGTGGATTGATGTTTCCACTTGCACTATGTGCTGTAAAATACACTCATTGAGGAGAATGGTGCTGCGAGCCCATGTATTTTTTTCAGTTATTTCTTTTTTTGGGTGTGGGGGGCATTGGAGCCATTCAGGTTTGTATAGTGAGTTTGAATAAGTTAAATAAGAGTGTGACATGAGTTCACAGTATTTACTCAGAAAGTTTAAGGAGCTCATAGGAAAATACAAAAGAGGACATAGGCAAGCAGTGGGGACAGGGACAGGACCTGGTGAGGCAGCTGCTCTAGTAGTGCTGGGGCAGCTTGGTGCCAGAGGTGTGAGGACCCTGATGAAGCTCGAAGCATCAGTTGTTTTTCTTCTCTAAAGTCAAGAGTGAATATACAGCCAGAGTTGGCTGTCATAACTCTTTTTTTTTGGCCACAGGCATTTCATTTTTCTTTCTTTTTTTTTTTTTAAGATTTATTTGTCAGAGAGAGAGAGAGAAAGCACAAGCAGGGGGAGGGACAGAGGCAGAGGGAGAAGCAGGCTCCCTGCTGAGCAAGGAGCCCGATGTGGGACTCGATCCCAGGACCCTGGGATGGTGACCTGAGCTGAAGGCAGACGCTTAATCGACTAAGCCACCCAAGTGTCCCGGCATTTCATTTTTCATTTTCCTTCCCTTGATTTATTAATTCAGCAATTGTTATATGAATTCATTTACTAACTATAGTTGAATAAAGATTAAATTGTGTTCATTATGATGTATTGACATTTTTATTTAATCAGATTGCACTTATGTTTTCATTTAAAGATGCTGAATTTGACTTTAAAGAAGTTTATTGTACTTGTGTGTGTAACATATGTTCTAGTGCTTATACTATTAAAGTTGTTAATAAAATTTGTGGTCTCCTTATTTATCACCACAGGGCTTACCAAATAAAACAATCTTAATATATACTACTTGTTTGTGGGTATGTGGGTGTCTATATTTTAAACATGTGGATCTGTTGTTTTTTTTTTTATATATTTTGTATTCAGTGTTTAGGTAATATGTTACTTTGTGTTAACATTTTGAATTTATGTGGTGCATTTAAGATGTTTAGCATTCAGGTGTTAGTGGATTTTTAAGTTTAGGAATTTTAAATCAATCAAGTAATTCATGCATATTAAACTAGACTTACCATACTCCAAAGGCCACCTGGCTTAATGCTTAAGAGCATGGTTTCTGGAGTCTGAAAGACCTGGGCCTGTGTCCCAGCAGTGTCACTTTCTAGAGCAGCTCTGTTCAGTGTGGCAGGTACTGGCCACATGTAGCTATTAAGCACTTGAAGTGTGGTTAGTGTGCCTCACTGGATTTTAAACTGTATTTAATTTTAATTTTGGCCTAGGTAGCCATGTGACTATTGGCTAGCAAATTGGGCCTCATGGTATGAGGTGACTTAACCCTTCTGTGTCCCAGATTTCTCATCTGTACAGATGAGATCAAACTTAAGCTACCTTTTGTGATTGTTAAAAAGAATAAATAAAGTAATATATTTAAAGAACTTAACACTATGCCTGGAACAGAATATGTCCTTTAAAAGTTATAATGACTATTATATATTTAATAAACTGGAATTACTTTCCTGTGAGTGTTAATTTAAACCTGTTTATTTTTATTCTTCCCTTTCAGGATTAATTTATTTTTGGAAATCAAGTGCAATATTAAAGGGAAAACAAACCACACTACATTATTGGAAGCCATTTCTGCTAATTTTATTACATTTTAAAATTTATGATTTGATTTGAATACTATCATGGGAGGAGCTGTGAGTGCTGGGGAAGATAATGATGACTTAATTGATAACTTAAAAGAAGCTCAGTATATCCGCACTGAAAGAGTGGAGCAAGCCTTCAGAGCGATTGATCGCGGAGATTACTATTTGGAAGGCTACCGAGACAATGCTTACAAAGACTTAGCCTGGAAGCATGGGAACATACACTTGTCAGCACCTTGCATTTATTCTGAAGTTATGGAAGCATTGAAACTTCAACCAGGATTGTCTTTTCTTAACCTGGGAAGTGGAACCGGATATTTAAGTACAATGGTGGGCTTAATTTTAGGTAATTTTATTTTTGTAAAATTTTATTTTAAAAAGTAAGCTGAGTTTGTATTACTGTTTATGATTTACAGGGTTTGTAAATTTGTATATCTTTGAACGTATGTACTCAAAGTAGTTCTTTTCCTTTCTTAAGTGTAGAAACACAAGGCAGTAGTAATCTTTTCTTATTCTCTGCCCTGACCCTGACAGTTAGCTTGTGCATTTAATCCCAGACTTAAGAAACTCTTGGAATTGTTTTTCCAATCATTGTACTTAAAATTGAACAGCTGGTAGGCAGGAAACTCAGGGGTATCGTGTAATCTATTTCAGGTAAAGGGTTGTGACTGACTGCTGGCATAGAGAGTTCAGTCAGTCATCGATGTCCCATTTTAAAGGGAATGGTGCCAGGTTTTTGTTAGAGTTTGTGGGATGTAGAGTGTATGGCACTGGTGAGGCAAAGCAAGGGATTGGGAGAAAAACAAGAGAAGTATATGTCAGTAAGCTTTCATCATACTTACTGTCTGTTCTGTCAGGGATTATTCCTGGTGTAGGTACACAGCAGTGATCAAAAGAGACTACTCTCTCTGCCTTTGAGAAGCTTACTGGGTGCTTACTATGAGAATGAAGCATTGTTTAAAGCACTTTACATAGAGTAACTCATTTAATGTTCCTAATAATCCTGTGACGTACATACTATTAGGATTCCTGTGTATATAGGTGAGTAAATGGGGGCTCAGAGAGGTTAACTAACTTGCCTCAAGTTGCATAGCTAGGAAGTGACACCTGCAAAATACAGAATGTGGGTTGAAAAGGCATGGATGGAGGAAAATAAGCACTAAGACCTTAGGATGTTGGTGGAGGTTGAGCAACCATTTTTACTAAGCCCTTTGGTATTTACCGAGTGCTACTTTGTGACGAGCCTTAAGGTAGAGCATCAAGGCCCACCATGTAGACTCTTGTCCTTGAGTTCACAGACTGGCAGGAGTAGAGAGACATAAGAAAATCAGCCATTGTCATCCAGTGTGTTATGTGCCATAGTTGAGGCATATTCATAGTTCTAGGGATGAGACTGATTTAAAATTCACCCTGCAGTGATGTAGAATCATTGAAGGATTTTGAATAGAGAAATGAGTATACTCTAGTAGGGTGACTACCTGTCCCAGGGTGCTGGGTCAGTCCCAGTTTATCCCTCTTGTCCTAGCATCAGTATTTATAATGTCCTTTTCTTTCCCAAAGTGTCCCAGTTTTGACAGTAAATTATATAGTCACATTAGATGACTAATAAGGCATTTTCAGGCCTGAAATTCCCCTTTCTTACACACTGACTAGCTCCTTCCTTTCCTAGTCATGGAACCTATGTCTATCTCATAAAGACAACTGAGTCAGTAATACAACCTAATACATAAAACAATCTATTTCATCCCATACTAAGTTTCTGGTTCATAATGATACGCTCAAAAGTAGCAAAGTATTAATTTTTACCAAGAAAGAAATTAAGCAGCTTACATTTAAATTTGGTATTCCTGCCCTTCCTGAGACAGGAGTTTCTCTGCAGGTTGGTAACCCCACTTATCTGTTAACTTTTGAAAAAAGAATCTCAGGGTTTGAGACTGTCTCCAAATCAAAGGAACTTAGTTGAGGGAGTAGAGAGAGCTTTAAAAAAATGGGAGTTGCCTTCTTGAAAGTGCATTTCTTGACCAGCTCTGGCAACTTCAGGCTGGAGTCCAGGCCTCCTAGCACGTCTGGCTAGCCTCAGAGCGCCTGTTACCCTGTCTTCCACCTCTCTAGCCCTGTCAGCTGGCTCATGCTGAGGGAGGTCAGTCTTAGCCAAAGGCCTGCAGGGAAGAGGGGGGTCATAATTAGCAACCTTGCTAGCAGTGAGATTGCCCCCTTAAACTCTATTCCTCAGTCTCAGTCTCCAAGAGATCAGGTTCCTATGGCCAGATGCATTTGTAGGCTGACCTCACACTTTTATCGTATCTGGAATGTCTTTAAACCCGTACCAGAGGGAAGCATGGAGAAACAGACCCCTGTGTAAGTGATCCACAATGCAGTTGATATTTTCCTTCTGTTACAAGACTCCAGGGAGTCAGGGTCTTTAGTTACATGTATGACTATGGTTACTGGACTTTGTTCCAGGATTTATCTGTGTGTGACCCTGCAGTCAAGACCAAGATAAAGTTTCTTTCTTTTTGATAGGAAATGGTCATTTGGTGAGAAAGATAAAAACACTTTAAAGAAGAAGGAAAGGCAGAAAGAATAGTCTGGAAATTAGTGATTGCAGCTAATAAATCTTGGATCTGTCTAGCTACTGAGGAAGCTTAATCTTTTTACCCCTGCCCTTCCTTTTTTGGTTTGCTTTGTGAGGGTTTTAAGTTAAGAAGGTAGACCCAAAGAAAGGTCTTTACATGTTCCCTACAATTCTCTGAGTATGGTGAATCAGATTTGGCTTCATTGCCTCACAGTGACCTTACTAACAGAAGTTCTGTCCTTATTAAGTAACTGTAACATCATGGCTCTAAGCCATGTTTCTCTCCTAGTCACAAGATGGGGATGACAGGTGCTCACCATAGGCAGGGATTCTCATTTGAGGACATGCTGAGCATGACTGTGGCTAAGGCAGGGAGAGCAGGGTGTCTGTGGTTTGGTAATTGCAGATAAGAAAAATGCACACTGAGGAATTTCCACCGCCTCTCCAGAAACACACCTGTAGAGGATGGGCTGCAGTCTTTCAAGAGCTTTTGTTCAGTGAGAGAAAGTTAGGTTTATCTTAACCTCAGGAAATTTCTTGTGATTAAAGTATACTTGAAGCAGTTATTCATAAGTGGAATTTATTTTTGCTCTAGACCTGGAGAATGGATCACTCTGACTCCCAATGTGCCTCATTTAGGTAACTTGTTTAGTTTCACATTGAAGATAAGTTATTCCACTTGCTTCTCCTTAAGACTCTTCATAGAACTAAGAACTTTCACAAAGAATCAAGTACTTATTTAATTCTCCTCTCAGTACTGTCTTTTCATACCTAAAGAGTCCTGTTGAAAAATAGGGTCCAAGAGAAGAGGGCTCCCAAGTCCTCTGCTTCCCAGACTTGAGTTATATATCAGGTCTATGAAGGCAAATTGGTCTGATCATCTTTCTGATTCAGGTAGGGATGGTTCTCCATTCTGATCCTTTTTGCTTAGGGATTCACTCCCATTTTCTAAACCTATAATATGAGGATTCTTCCAATTTAATGAGTTCCTTAGTCTCTTGACTAATTCTTGAGTTAATAGAAATGACTGGAGAAACTGCCAGAATCATTCCAATACTATGTTTGCCACTACCTCAGCATGACAACATTAGTTTCTAAAGTTAAAACAGTTGGCAAGCTTATGTGCTTAACAGACAACTCCCTGCCAGCATTATATTGTCCAAAAGGCTGATTAGTTAAGCTACATGTTGCCATCATGTTTGGTCTCTATAGTCTCTATCTCTTTACCAGAGGACATTAAATGGCCCTCATTCAGCTGCCCGTAGATTGCCTTTGACTTGAGATACTCATGTTTTAGCTCTCATTTTAGCCCCCTTTCTCCCTTTAATGAGATACAGCTTACCATAAAGTTTGCCCATTTTAAGTATACAGTTCACTGAGTTTTGGTAAATTTGCAGAGTTATGCAAACCTTACCATAGGTCAGTTTGAGAACATTTCCATCACCCCAAAAAGATCCCTCATGCCTGGCTGAATCTACTCCCTGTCCCCACCCTAGCCCCTGGCAACCACTTATCTATGTTCTTTCTCTATAGATTTGTCTTCTCTGTACATTTCATATAAATACAATTATATATGGTCTTTTGTGTATGGCTTCTTTCACTTAGCAATATGTTTTCCAGGCTGTAACATGTATTAGTATTTCTTTCCTTTTTATGACTGAATAATATTTCATTGTAAGGGCATACCACATTTTGTCCATTCACCACTTAATGGACATTTGGGTTACCACTTTTTGGCTATTATGAATGATACTGTTGTGAACATTCAAAATGTACAAATGTTTGGGTGACCATCCATTTTCATTTCTCTTGGGTGGATTCCTGGAAGTGGAATTGCTGGGCTCTATGTTAAGTTTATATTTAACTTTTTTTTTAAAAAAAGATATGTTTATTTTGAGAGTGAGAGAACGTGCACGAGAGTGTGAGTGGAGGGAGGGGCAGGGGGAGAGAATCTTTCAAGCAGACTCCCCCCTGAGTGCGGCTCAATCCCATGACCCATGAGATCATGACCTGAGCCAAAACCAAGAGTTGGACACTTAAACGACTGAGCCACCCAGGCGCCCCATGTTTAACTTTTTAAGAATTTGTCAAAGTATTTTCTACAGTGGCTGCACTATTTTATATTCCCACAATGAATGAGGTTCTAGTTTCTCCACATATTCACCGATGCTTGTGTGGTTTTTTGTTTGTTTTTTTAATAGCTACTATAGTAGGTATAAAATACTATCTTGCTGTGCTTTTAACTTGCCCTTCTAATGATGTGGAGGAGCATCTATTCCTCTGTTTTCTAGTCATTCCTATATCTTTAGTTAAATGTCTTTTCAAATCTTTTCCCCCATTTTTTAATTAAGTTGTTGGGTGTTCTTATTATTGAGTTGTAAGTGTTCTTTCTGTATTTTGGTTACAAGCCCTTTATCAGAAATACAGTTCTCAAATATTTTTTCATGCTCCTTTAAGCACCTTTTGGCTCACTGTGAGCCAGAGAATCAGGGAGATCCAGAGTGGTCTTCAGCTCCCCTCCCCCATTCTTTTTGATAAGACAAAACACATTCTGCAGGCTCTCAGGGTTCTCTTTAAAGCAAGCACATTTTCTGCATTAAACCACACCTCAGTTTTTCCTCTATCCATTTTTTTTTTTTTTTTGGAGGATATTTTGTTTTTTCTTTTTAGGAATTACAGAGGCTCTTGGTATGTGCTTTATTTTGGGCTCTGAGCAAATCTGTTTTGAAAAGAACCATTTCATTTGGGCTAGTCATATTTTCTGAAATCAG